ATGTTGATTAGGTATTTACTTCTTTCAAATGACAGAAAATATAAGATAGTGGTGTTTTAATAAAATATTATACATTAAATAATGACATTTCATATTTCTTTATGATTAGTAGTATATATATATTCTCTTTAAATCTTGTATTATGTTGTAATAAAGTAATTTAAACAGTTTCAGCGAATAAGATCAGCGCTGTTATCATTTGATTTCCCACTTCATTTCAGCATGTGTTACAGAACTGAGTAACCTTGAATTGTTACTTCTGTGTTGCAGCTGGTTTTTAATGTTACAATCTTGATTGAATATATTGCAAATAAAATCCAGTCAGAATATGTTCATGCTTTGCACAATATTTATTTTGAAATAGGACTTACTTAAAAGGATTTTGGGTGGAACAGGTCACAAGGCCCAAAATCCTTGATGGTTAAATGATGATGATAACTTACTTAAAAGTAATTCTTTCACAATCTGTCTTACATTAGAATAATAGTAATCTGTGAAGATAGCCTCCCTCCACCATCAGATGTCTTTGTGTGTGTGTGTGTGATTCCAAAATATCATAGACAATCTTAGGAGTCATTCATAAACTGGCTGTTCATAACTTTTAAAGATTTCTGTACTTTACCTTTTTTTTGTCAACCAGAATGAGAAAATTATTCCTCATTTTAATGGATATATATAACAAATCAAAGTGTTCTGAAATACAATGCTAAAACACTGACTGAAATATTATTTTCCAAAATAAGTAACAATTATACCTCCTTTCACTGACTAGTCTCTGCACACTTATTATACATACAACTCGTATTACAGAAGACATATATTTTACACATAATAAATGCAGATGCAGATATTTTGCTTTCATAATAATTTAGTAATTTCACTTGTCTTTCCCAGACTTTATTACTTTAGAGAAGTTGCAGTACAAGTTTATGTTTTTAACTTTTAATATTTACTTCTATACTAAGTGTTCACTTGGCCTACTTCACCTTGTACTATGATGAGACATTTTTCATTGCCTTTAAAATTATCTACCAATGTTATAAAACTACTCACTTTATGTTAGCCCAGGGGAAATTACAGGTAATTTAACCCAGAATTAAAGTTTCTAAATCATGGTGTAGAAAGTATGACCTGATTCTGAAGAATGATAAGGGCATGCAAATAATGTATTCATTTTCACTGGCAAAATATGTACAAATGGAAAATGTGTTACAATCTGTCATTTTGCACATTACCTTATCCAAGTTATATTTGTATAGACAAGAAAGCATCATTTATGTGACAAGCTAAGCACATAAAGCTTATACCATTGCTACACTATCTACTAGATTGATGGCAGAACAAAATTATCCACTATACACCACCAAATTATGTTAATATAAGAGATTACTTTCATAATATCTCTTAAAGGTACATGTAGCTACATAAATTCTCATTATTCTTGAAATGGGGACCATGGTAATGATGAATAATTCAAGTGATTGTTGTCAAGCACAGAAACAGTCCACCAGAACCTGAATATAATGATTATTATTGACAAGAACAAACTTCGATTTGTAGCAACATATTACACACCACTTTTTAGCAAAATTTGTTGCTTTATTCATATTTACTATAAAGAAGATTATTTTCAACTGTATGCATTATTTTGGAAAAATTCTTTTAAACAAGACTGGAAAGCTATAATCCATACCAGAATACACGTGTTCTTCGCAAATTCTGAATTATTAATAAAATATTGTCTGTTGTCTTACTTAAACAACTTTAGTTTCCAACTATAAAAATCATGTGTTAATATGTTCTATAACTGACATAAATCAATTCCAATATGTCAAAAGGTATATTAGCTCTGTGCTAGTATACCAGTCTCATATGCACAGGGCTGTGGGATCTAATCCTATTCAAGTAAATTTTTTTATGCAGCCATCATGCTATTTTACACTATGGCCTTATTGCAAGTGGTACTAATGTTGATCCCACCTCACAAGTTCGTTTGCCTGCTATGTTTGCATTACCAATTGGAGTAAACTGTAAAGTACAATTTCACAGTAGTCTTCAACTACATAACATCCATATCAAATTTCATCCAAATCCGTTCAGCAGTTATCGAGTTAAATCATGTGGAGAGACAGCTGGACAGATACACAGACATGACCAGCTCTACATGTGTTAATTTCATGCACATCATGCAAAGAACACATGACAACCAACAACAAATAGTTTTTCTTCTACATTACAGACATCTCTCTATAAACATTTTGAAGAATATCTCAGAAACTAATGATGAAACGACACTGATCTGTATAAATTATACTAAACTTGTATTCTCAGTTACTGACTAATAGTAACATAATGTGTGAAATAATGTTAATTGTTCACCATTAGGTAAAAATATACACTACTACAAGTTTACATTCTTTGCAGTTTCTACTTACATTCTGGGTATGAAGTGCTGCTCAGTGTTCAGACTTTATTTTTCAAAACTTACATGTCTATAAATATTTCTATTTATGAGAAAACACTGTATGTGTGTTGTGTATGCCGAGTGAATTTTCATCACAACTGGGACATCATTTTCACTGCATTGTGATGTACACTACATGATTCTGCTGTTATTTATTGTGCTTTGCAGACATCAGTATTGCGAAAATTATCATGTTTCTCAAAAATATCTTTGAAGATGTGATAAACATTGTCTGCTTATTGTGACTTCTCATGTCATATTTTTCCAACCTGTCTCATTTCGCCAGCGCTGAAACAGCTGAGAAAGTTTCTGATGGATCTACCATACAACATTCGATGATGTAACAGAAGACAGAGACTATGACATATTATGAACTAGTGGAAAATGAATAACACATTAAAATTTACAGCTTACCAATGCCATGGCATGATTATGTGAGTGTTTATGTATCAGTGGAGATAAGTCACAAATTACAGCACGGCAAAGCTGGCAATGTAGAGCTTCATGGTATGGAAGGGGGATTATGATATTCTAGGTTTTGGCACCATGTAAACTCATCAGTAGACACCAGCATTTCAGAGAAACATACTGTTTCCATCATCAGGGCTGAAGTGGTAGTGCTGAGAAGTGGAATTATGCCTGTCCTTATTTGGCCCACTCCCTCAGCCTTCCCTTTCTCCAGCCCTATATAAATCCCTCCACTTCCCAGCATCACCACTTCAAATCTGAAGACAGACAGCATATTTCTCTGAAACAGTGGAATCTGTTGACAGGTATTCACAGTGCCAGAACCAGAAGAAGATCAGCACAGTGAAAACCTTGGATCTCACAATGGCGGGAGAGATACTGTTCTGTGGCCATGAAACATTCAATTTTTTGGTGTTACTATAGTAATATCTATTCACACACCATAAAATCAAACTGTCAAAAAATGAGTCAAGGTGGAAGGGAATTCTGCTGCTGACAATGAAAAATATAATAAAAGTAGGGCTTATAACACTGCTGAAGAAGTGCTGCAATAGTTGTTAATCAATGAGTTCATTGCTTCTGGTTGACAAATGGAATGGGTAAAAAAGCAACGTTAAGGAACAGCCAGGTCCAATCTCCATTCACACCATATTAAAATAACTAGAAGTGACTAAAGATAATATGTATCTGTCAATGCAGTACAGGCGTGAGCTTACTTCCAGCCCATGACATCCTTTGTTACAATCAAATTTATAAATAGGTACAAGATGTGATATAATTAAAGAAGGTAATCATCACATATACTAGAACTCATACTGCATCTGGTGTACCCATTACAGTAATTCAATTAAAAAGTGTGAGAAATAAAAACAGAACATGAGAATTTTACAGCCAGTCAGAAATGTCAAAAGAGAATTAACCAGGTTATGAAGACCGCT